AGATATGAATTTCTTACTTGACCTTTGGCCTTCTGACTTCACAAATTATTAGTAGTCTTTTATAAACCATTGAGAGTTATTTAAGAGATGAATTTATTTTTTGAGAGTTCATGAGGACATGAACTACGACGCTTCACGCCGGCATATTTCATGAAGCGCGTTAGCGCTTCAAGATAAATATGCAGGCGTGAAGCGTTGTAGTTCATGTACCTCATGAATTCTTAAAAATTAAATTCATATCTTATATTGACATCATTTTTCTCATGACTTGCCACATATATTTGTCATTCAATGATACTTTTTGAAAAAAAAATCGTACTTTTATTTTACTTCAATCACATCACGATGGAAATATACTTACTCATCCCACGGCAGTTCATGAGAACATGAACTTTTTCTAATTTGCAAGGAATTATATGAAAAATATTTGGAAATGTAAATATTATACAAAACGCATTGAAAAAGCTCAAAGAAAACTAAAGTTAATATGTTGAAACAATTTTTGCAATGTATGAATTTCTCAACCTGACCTTTCGACTTTGACCTTAAAATTAATGTCTTTTTAAGACCATAAGAAATTGTGTGATCAGAGGCTTAAAGGTTTTTTGAAATACCGTACAGAAACGAAAGCGTACACACAGACTAAATGTATGAATTGACCTTGACCTTTTACATTTTGAGCTCCAAATCTCTAAGGGTCTTCAATAGGCCAAAGGCGGTTGTCATATAAACTTTCATTGCAAAAGCTTAAAATCGTTTTTGAGATATCATTCAGATACCCACGTACAGAATGACAGACAGACAGATCCAAATTAATGCATTTTTGTGCTCATTTTTTTTTTTTATTTCTTATCATATCAACTATTACAAATATAATATAAAAAACTTGAATGTTTTAATCTTTGTTGATTATGGTATGATTTAAGGTAAAATTATGAAGAGCATTGATTTGGTTTTGATGTTGCATACGAGGGTGATCCAAAAGTAATGTGAGACATCTGTTTTAAAATCTTTATTTATCATATATTATTAAGAAAATATAACTTACAATGTCCTTATATATTTTTATTTTTGCCTTAAAATTCCATTTAGTTACATATTTTATTTAAACATCAAGATAAACACAACGTTAGGTTTCGTCCATTGCCAAATTGGGAAAATGTTGTTATGACGTTGCATTTTGGCACTCATTTTCGGTTCATACTCAAATATTTTTAACCTCTAACTTGCACCTTCTTTATTTCCTTTACTATCGTTTTACTATAAATTATCTTATTTTGATTTAAAGTATTAAATCATTTGAACGTTGTCTATGATTTCCTTTTTGCGTAAATCTTATGTATCATCTGATTCATAATCAGTGTCAAAGTTTAAAGTTAAATGACATCGGTACATTTATGCCATGTCTCGGTAGACGAGACCACGTTGTTTATTTCAATATATAATAAAGTATTGCATATATAACTAAATGGAATTTCAGGTCAAGTGTCAAAGTAGATGCAGGTATTAGCATATGATTTTTAATGAAAAGTTTCAATGATTTTTTTATGAAAAGTTTCAATTATTAATGAATTTTCTAGCAGTTGTGACATAACGTTAGCATCAACCCTCATATATTAAAACAGTCTTTAATAAAAATTAGCAGCATGGCCAAAATAATAATTTAAATTTTATTTATGTTCATTGGTCTCAGCCCAAAACCTGTGGCTAGAGTTTTATAATTCCTACATTCAATTTTTTTTTTTACCAAAAAAAGTAAAAATTTAAAAGAATGGACTTCAAAAATATTGTAATAGGCAGGAGCGTGGACAGTTGGTGGACAGGAAGCAACGGCAATTTCTTTTATCACTATTGGCGCATTAAAGAACCAAGCGGTGACGGTCCGAGTGTACTTCTTGCCAGAAGTGGAAAATGGAAGGGCATTCCTTGTTCAATTGAACGTTTCTAAGCATTTGAAAAGGATATTATATTGAATATTCTTAAAATAAGTTCCAGTGATGAGTTTATTTTTTTTTTTTTTAATAATTTGTAAACTCTTTCTTTTAAGGTTTCATGAAATGACAGCAGTTCGACGCCAAATCGCTATTTTTCACCAAAACCTCCTATTTCTTATATTTTTAATAATTATAAGGAAATAAAAGAGGCTGAAATTAGTTTTCTTTAAATTGTTGTCGTTTATCTTTCACATGATGAAATTCTGCCATTTCGTAAACTGAAAGGTGACTTGAAATCCACTGAAAAGTTACGGAATGGCAGAATTCAGTTAAATGAATGGCGATTTTCAACCTTAAGAATATATGCATTTTTATCAACGACAGGCACATATTTTCCTTTTTTTGGTATGTGTATTTCTTTTTATATTTTGCAAGATACAATTAGTGAGCATGAATGACGTTGGGGCATATACCTGACGCACTTCCAAGTCCTGTACAATCTAATTGAAGTTGCATGTAAATAAAGAAATGAAAGTGGAAAGTAACTTCGTTATCTTCATTTTCCAATATTTTTGTTATTGCTCATTGGACATATAAGGATAATATTAAAAAAAAAAGACACACACGAAATATGTTTCAAAAACTGACAGAAAAAGTATTTTATTTGAAATGTATATATATTTCTTAAAATGTTTAAAATTCGAGAAACACTTCAAAACGTGGGAAACTATAGCTACTGAGATATGAAATCGCTATTATTCATGTTGCTGTTATCTAGCGCAACGTTTGACTGAACTGTGCAGCCTGTGTATACAAAGTGATATACTAATGAAGTTTGTTTGTTAATTTGTTGGGTTTTTATATCAAGTTCTTTTCGCAAAATTTTCACTCATATGGCGTCTCCATATGAGTGAAAAATTCTCGAGAGGGACGTTAAACAACAAACAAACAAACAAACACTCATTTTGAGACGCCACTACTTGCAGCTAGATGGCTACAAATTTGAACTTATACCCGGCATTCAGGGCCATTTGGCAGTGAGGGATCTTCTTTGTGCCTAATCTACTGCGAAAGACCGGTCCACACATCCCACAGTGGGACTCAAACCTAAGACGTAAGGATCAACTCCTTACACGGCGAATCTAAATAGAACGTTCCACCGTTAAAATTATTTTGTCCTACGGATCCGATTCAACGATAGAATTCCTTCCTCTTATTGGCAATGTGGCAAATAAACACGAGGGACAACTCCAACTCAATGCATTTAATATGAACAGTCTAGAGAATTGGAATGTCAACATTGCGTGTAAATTCTAAGCGAGAATGAACATTGAAAATTAAGTTGAATTTTCGTCTTTATATGGATTTTTTTAGGTAAAGATGCATATAAAATCTCAAAAAGATTCGTTATAATAAAGCGGTAACCATTTTCAGTGGAACTCATTTAATTTCTTCAAAATTGTTTCGGAGCGGATCCCCTCCGGTTGCTATATTGCAAATATACAGGGCGTACTGTGGTTTCATCAATTTTCGTGGGTATCAATTTTCGTGGATTTAGAAAAAATCACAGTTTCGAGGATACGTAAATTCGTGGAAAATGGTCCTAACAGAAAAAAAAATTGTCATTTTTTCTCTCGCCGTATGCTTTAACGGGAACCTTCATGCCAAGCACAATTTTAAGAGTACGTAAATATTAAAAAACAATTACTAACAGTTGAAAACTTTTTAATTATTATTTATATTTCACTCATCGCTATTTTTTAAAAATAGGAACATTCATGCATTTACAAGGCAGTATACATGATATAACAGATATAACAATAAAGAGTGAGGCATTCCAAATACCGTCTCCACTGTAACACTATGAGCTCAATGGGCCAATTAAATATCAGATATTTACACAGGTTATTTAAAACAATTAATTTTTGGGAAAAAAAATTTATGTTCTCCTTTTACAAAGCATGAATATTTCTCAAATGTTTTATTATCATGTATGAAAAACGTCAGGCATGCAGCATCTTACTGTATGATAGATTGCATTTGCTGACACGATCATTGTATCGACCATAGAATTTGAAAAAAAAAAGAAATATTTACTTCAACGAAGCTGTTGATATTGTTGTTTCATCAACTTGTTTGCTAATGACTTGCTTCATTTTAGGTCGTATTTTATGTGTATTGTGTCGTTTGTTTATCCTATCGTATCAGGTTCCTCATAAAGAATAATGGTGCACGTATTCTGTACCTCTAAGTATTATTCTTTGGTAAAATACCTTCTACTTTATTCAATACATTTTTTATGCACTTCTTAAAATCGTTCTATATTTTTGTAAACACAATATCTTGATGCTTTATTGAAATTGCACCCTTCTGTATAAGTGCAGAGTACAAGTAAAATAACTTGATCAGTCCGTTGTCTACAGTTATCTTTCATCTGGTATTTCATCTTACGTATATTAAACACACTGAAAACTTATCTAGAAGATACTGTGTCCACTACTGGAGTTATTTTCGGGAAAAAAAAATTACAGTCGCTAAAGAAACCTGCGTTACGGTATATATATCTTATATATCATTGTGCTGGGCATTTCTTAATGAATATAATGGAAAAAAGGTTGCTGTGTAGTGAGGTGGTTAGTTAGTTAGTTGGTTTGTTTATATTATTGATTAATGTCCCTCTCGAAATTTTTTCACTCATATGGAGACGCCACAAATTGCCGGTGGAAAGTTGCAAATATTTTACCTATACTCCACACTCAGGGCATTGAGCAGTGAGGGATCTTTTTCGTGCCAGCACCTACTGCGACACGTGACCTCGGTTTATACGGTCTCATCCGAAGAACCGTACTCCACGTATCACAGTGGGATTCGAACCCGCGACGTAAGGATCCACTCCTTACTCCGTAACTGTAGAGCGAACGCTCTAACCACTGCGCAACGCAGGCGACGAGTTGGTTAGTGAATAGAGTTCGTTGGAAAATAGATAAAATTAATGGGGTAGAAGAGATTAAATCTTTATCTGGTTTGAAATGTTTATCGATCGAACTCAAACTTTATTAAAATATATCATACGTAGGTAACACTAGTTTCACATATAAATCCTTCAACCTTCGTCGAAGGATTAAGTGCTTGAAAGTCTTTGTCTGTCCGCATGCCTATGATTGTGTTGGAGTCTCTATCATTCCGTCGGATTGTGTTTCCCGTATAAGGCAGAGGATTTCCGGAATCATCCTTCCATGGATCAGAAGCGTTGCTCCTAGAGCCTTGAACCAGAGCCTCGGATAAACGTATAGCTTCTGAAATACAACACTTTTATTATGATATAACATAATATTTATTATATAATATAGCATAATAATATTCTTTGATTTGGCAAAATAAAGATATTTTTGGGAGATATTCATTTATTTATTTCGATGTTTTTATTTCCAAGCAAAAATCCGAATAAACGAATCGGGTAGATTACTGAAATGTAGATTTATACAATGTAATTCGTAGAAATAAGAAAACATGCGCAATAAAGTACCTCCTTAAGGTAAAAAATTCAGCGCAACATTTTCTGTAAGCATCTAAATGTGTATTTTGATTTTTTCCCCTTTTTTTATAGTTGACTGATTTAAAAATGGTAAATATAAATTAAGTAATATTTGTCAAATTGCATTAATAACAGGTTTTTCTTCAGTCAATGAAAATTTCATAGATTATACCTTTTTAAATCAAAGTCGCAAATCAAGGAAGAAGAGTTTAACAATTTTATAACAGAGTATCAATTAACTAATATTTATTTATCATTGAAATAATTAGGGAAACACTTTTAAGAAATACATTAATTTTCTGGATTGATTGATTGTATGTTGTTTTACGTCCCATCCGAGAATTTTTCACTAATACAGAGACGTCACCAGATACCGGTGAAAGGCTTCAAATTTTGACCTTTACTCGGCTCTCAGGGCCATTGAGCAGTGAGGGATCTTCATCGTGCCAACGCCTACCGTGACACGGGGCCTGGGCTTTTAAGATCTAAACCGAAGAACCCGCAACTTTCACTTCAAAGTGCCGAGCGCATGGCTAAGGAACAGTTGCTTCCCATTTTTTTTTTTATCGACTTAGGTAAGTCGCGGCCGAGATTCAAACTCACGACCTCCCGATCAATGAGCGAGCGCTGTACCGACTGAGCTACCGTAAACGGTTACATTTCTGGAAATAATGCCGGTATGAAATGATCAAAAGCATATTACATCTGAGCTGTTTACAGTGATATACATTAAAATGAAATAAATTTCAATATCTTAATCTTCATTAATTGCAAAACATGAATTCTTAAGGCAGATAAAAAATCACGACCTTAGTCAAATAGATAATCATGGCCTTGATTCAGCTGCAAAATTACAAGCTTAAGTTAAATACAGAATCACGGCCTTAAGTCATTTTCAAAATTACGACCTTAAGTCAAACACAGAATCACGGCCTTACGTCAGTTACAAAATGAAGACCTTACGTCATATAGAGAACCATGGCCTTAAGTCAGTTACAGAGGCATGCAAGTCAAATCAATGAATCAGGCCTTATAGTCAGTTACAAAATCAAAGTATTTAAAAGAAGTTAGTAACAGGATCACGGCTTGATAATGAGTAAAGTGATAATGAGTTTGTCAGGAATAATCTTGTCCTAATTGATTTATAGAATCAATATTGACTTTATTAACAGTAAAGTGTATCCCAGTCATAAATGAAAGACAAAATCGCGACCTTTTACTTACTTACAGAATCATCGCCTCAAGTCAGTGATTTAAGTCTGTTTTGAAAATACAGATTTTAGTCATTTAGGAAATATGGCCTTATATCAGCTAAAAATTAATGGGAGTGAGTCAGTTGCAATATCATTGCAATAAGTCATTAGAGAATCATGACAATACAGAACCATGCCATTAAGTCAATTACAAAATCATGGCATAGTCAATAACATTAACAAAGTATTACGTCAGTTATACAACCATGGCCTTAAATCATTTACAAGTCATTAACAAAATCATGGTATTAAGTCAGTTACAGAATCATGGTATTATGTCATTTACAGATTCATTGCCCTAATTCAGTATTAAAATTATCTTATTGAGTCATGTACAGAATCAATGAATTAAATTGATTATAAAACGTGACGTGAAGTCAGTTATAGATTCAGGGTCTTGATCTCCATTAAAAATCACGGCCTTAGGTCAGTTAAAGCAGGTGTGACTGGTCAACAGTGGCTGTTTACTCCTCCTAGACACCTGATCCCTTTCTGGAATTTCCAGGGGTCCGTGTTTCATGCTCTCTTCATATATTTGTATTTTTAAATGGAGTTTTTGAGATCGTCACTGTTTGTTACATTCACCTTATACATTACAGGATCACAGCAAAGTCAGTGACAGAATCACGGACTAAAGAGATTATCAAGATATTGACTCTGCAAAAACTTAATTGAAAAAAATATATATTAACGTATTCATTGTATAATGAAGGGATATTTAACAGTTTGGAATCATTTTGAAGTACACGTAGTTAAATATGTATTGCTAGATAACGATTAAAGTGAAATGAACCAAATTCTCATTACTGATAACAAAAATGAAGCCAGCCATTTTGCACCTTACACATTTTGGATGAGTTATCTGCCCTTGAAGAAAAGAATAAAAATTGAATATTGACAAATATCTATGGTTAATTATTCATTTATTTCATATTTTAATAAATATGGAGTTTTTGCATCTTTTTAAACAAGGGAATTTCATGAAGTTCAGATTAATTTTTATAATATCTTAATAAAACATGCGCTGCCTATAGACTTCAATGTTAAAATGAACATGCAATTTCTTGGACAAGATTCAAAATTTTGTAAATTCCTTTGGTGGAGTATTTTTATGTGATAATTACATGTACCATGATTAAAAAATATTGGCCCATTCATTTCTTAGGTACAAAATATGGTCCTTATACTTTAAATACCTTACCAGTAATTCAGTTACAAAAATGAAGTTTTAGAACATTTACCCATTTCCGTAATCAAAACATCAGCCTCTGCTTCCGAGTTAACTAGCAGGAGACGACCACCATCACCATTACACTGCTGTTGGGCTTCTGTGTTTGTAACAAGGCCCTTAAAAACACGAAAGCATCCTGTCAAAGGGTTATATTCATAACCAGTGGCTGTGCAGGTTGGATTTCTGGAAATATAATAGATCGTATATAGAGCGTAAACGAAGAATGAATTTAATACAGATGGAAGCGAATGTAGCACATAATACCAAATTTACATGCATGACTCCTAAAGCTGGAAAAGCCGATATCATCTTCTTGGCCTTTCCAACAAGCTTGGAAAAACACCTCAAATGTATTTACATCACCGGATGTTAAAAGTTTCTTAAAAATGGTTTAAGGTATTCGATGAATGGATTTGAAAGCCACTTTTGTACAAGAAAATATGTAATACCTTTACATTCAATAAAGTTAAACTCCATACTCCACTGGTAACATGCTTCTATTTTTATTTCAATGGTTATGAAAAGGGGGGTGGTGGTGTCTTGGATGCCTACATACATGTAATACCTTCAAGGTTGTTTTTCCGCTTGTCGAAAAGATCCGAGATGTTGCGATTGAGCTGAAATAACATGAAGCCAATTCTTGAAATTTATTTAGCGTTAATTAAATGGCGATTTAAACTATACCCTAGGGTGGCTGTTTGTGAAGTAGGTATTGTTACAAGTAAGAGGCCAGTAGTAAGTAGTGCAAGCAGCTCTGGAGTGAGTACCATGTTTCCGTCTAAAAAAGTAATGGTAGCTGAGTGCTTGCAAACAGAGTGAGAAAATTAAACATTTAAGCATTTTTTTTTTTTGTAAAGAGGGTGTTGCAGAAACTCGTGATTTTTCCCTATATCGAGAAGGGCATTTAAATACCCACGACGCATGGAGAGTTATCTCTAAATATAGATAATGCTACGTAGATGATTTCATTTATACGGCGGGTATGTCCAGCTTGTTATAATAAAACATTTCACAATTTACGTTTATTTCATGCATATTTTTTCCTATCTTGTTGATTTATCCGACTTTAAATAAAAATTATCCTATCCTATAGACTGGCGACCTGATAGTAAACTTTTTTTCACTTCTATGGTCACTATCGTCATATTGCACGCGAAAAGTTAGAACGATAAAATGCACAATTAACGAAAAGTGCATATCGCACATCATTTTGAAAGATGTGCTGTAGACAGCATGCGTTAATATTTGTTAATATGTATATAAAAATGTGTCCAATAATCACGCTGTTGATGCAATATCCAAAAAATTCCATTGAGTCATTTCAATTTAGTTGTTTCAAGTCAAATCTGAGCAACTAATTAACAGAACAATAATGAAACGAAACGAGTATGAAAAAGTTAAATTATTTAAAATGATAGTACTTTATTTTTTAAGACATCGCCACGAAATGTATGTCTTATTTGATTTAGATCACGATATCAAGGAAAACAATTTAATTCTGCATGCATTTAAAATATTACTCATTAACTTAACGACATCTCCCCCTCTCTTTCTCTCTCAAGAGAGATGTTACTTCCATTATTTAAGAAAAAAATTGTATATACCAGCCATTCCAGGATTCGAACCCATTCTCAGGTAAAATAATCTTCACAAAGAGTCCACACGCTTTACCACCAGACCAGCTCCGACACTGAAGTATCATGTGCTGTTTTATGTGCACATTTTCCATTTCGGATGGATAATAATTTTTATTCGAGTTCTGTGATTTTCAAAAATATGCCTCTATGAAACAAAAATCGGAAATGGCAGTTTTGAAGAAAAATCCTGTCTCTTTATGCGTATTTCAAATTCATTCTGTTTCAAGGAGGCAATTTTTCAGAACAATGGGGATTGCCTATTTGAAAAACAGAAAACTTGTGCTTATTTTGCTAAGTGGCTAATTTACACTTCATTTAATGGCAAATTGGTAGTCGATATGCAGTTTCTAGATATTGTTCTTCATTGTGCTGTATATACCGTTGTATCTGAAAAAAAATTAAGACCGTTTTCTGTTACTTGAAATTTTTCTCAAATTGCTACAACTTTAGGGAAAATAACAAAAGAACTGCAACACTCTCTTAACATCATAAGCTCCAAAGTTCAAGAGAAAACATTAAATAAAATGACCTATTCTTTTTAACTCTAATTCTTACATGTATTCCTTTCTTTTTTATCTTTTTTTTTAAATGTCAAATGTATATATTTTTAGAAAGTTTCTCTAGTTGTACTTACAAGCATATGGCACAAGCACAGACCCAGCTATTAATAACCCCAGGAGAGGTCGATTAATGGTCAGTATAGCTGTTGTAACAATTACGTAATTTGTCACCAGGACGTACAAAACCAAGCCTTTCACCAAGGTGGATGTCATGGCTTTCTTGCACGATGTTATCTGTCAAAATGCACTTCAGAGAGTGGAGTACATACTGTATACAGACAAGCCCATAGAACGCGCGGGGGGAGGGGCGGGGCACTTTTCCTGAGTACGAAGCCCCCCCCCCCCCCCAAAAAAAAAATGAAACCGCTGCTACGGGCCTATACATGGGAATTCATCCCTTTGCTTCTTGTTTGAAAAGCGAAGTTCAACTTTATATGAGAACAATATTAATTCAGATTTGCAAAGTTAAGATTAAGGATCCATAGTAAGTTAGAAACATTCCTTTCATTATTAAGATGCATGTATATTTACAATAAGATGAATAAATGAACCCTAGTTCTCAAACGTTATATTTAAGAAAGCAAAAATTATTCTTAACACAAGTTTACAGCTAACTTTGCCACTTCTGTATGTCATAATACAAAATCTTACAATAAATATACATTGGAAAATATATTGACTTGTTCACTATTTAAGCCTTTCGCCATTTTATTTCATATTTGTTTTTTTAAAAAGTACATCTAATTAATAAAAAAAAAATTCAAATCTATTTGTTCATATAAAAATAGCTTTGATAAAAAGTTCGATATGTGAATTAAGGAATAAGATACAAACCACAAAAAATAGATGTCTGGTAGGTACAGAGTATATATTTTTGAACCTATTTTGGTTGTATAAATTTCCAAAATACTAAGAAATTCTTAATTCTTCAATGATACTCAAAACTCAACATTTCTGCAACTATATTTTTAACATTTACAACCTTTTGTCGTTTTAACCTCATTATTATGAAACTTTGAATGAAAAAATAATATCTTTGCGGTTAAATTTATTCATTTTACATACATACATACATACATACATACATACATATATATATATATATATATATATATATATATATATATATATATATATATATATATATATATATATATATATATATATATATATATATATATATATATATATGACATAATTGTTATTTTCAACATTTTTAATAAAAGTTTGTCCTTAACAAAATAAATCAAGAACAACTTACCACAGTGGCCAGACACACTGACATTTGAAGAACCCCTAGATCAGTCTTTTCAGCGGATCTCTCTCAGACAATATGTTGTAATATCTAGCACTTTTGATAGATTAGGGGTTTCCAATATTGACTGTCGACTTATCAAGTGACGTGGCCTAAACAAATACCCAGTCAACTTCTATAAAGATATGTTTTTTTTTTTTTTCTGGTAATAAACTTTTTCTGGTGGACATGTATACAATAGAGTAATAGTGAGTGCAGCGAATGGTGCGAAGCAGCGCTCGACAGTGCGCGCTCTTACAGCAACGCCTGAGTGAAGAGAAAATTCGGAGTGTGCATATTGATCCATTTTTTTCCTTACTATATACCCACAGTGCAAAGCAAATGCATCTCGCTGCTAACTTAGTTCGGTATTTACAAAAATTCCATAAATGTAATTAGAAATACAGTTGCGTTGATGAAACAGGAATATATCAATCAGTTTTGTTTAAAGCCATCATTTAGCAAGTTCTATGGTCAATACAATGACTTTGTCAGCAAATACAATCTACCATTAAGTCAAATGCTGATGGACATTTCTCACACTAATTGATCGGCCATTATTATCGCACTGAATTCTCTACGGATTTTTCTTTTTTCCCGATCATGGTAAGGAGCATACGGCGGGTCTGACCGGTTGGCAGGGGATGCTTAATGCTTGTCGCACCTGATCCTTTTAGATGTTTAGCGGTCCGTGAGTTTGAATTCTGTTCGTTATCTCCATATATCATGCGAAACATAAACGCCTTGGCATGAACTGTGAAAAAAAAACAACTAATGGTCTAGGTTATTTTTTTTCAAACGTGGATCAAAAATATGGATTTTTTGTTTGTTTGTATGTTGTTTAAGTTCCCTCTCGAGAATTTTTCGCTCATATGGAGACGCCACCACTTGCCGGTGGAGAGCTGCAAATTTTGTCCTATACTCGGCACTTACGGCCATTGAGCAGTGAGGGATCTTTTTTCGTGCCAGCACCTACTGCGACACGGGACCTCGGTTTATACGGTCTCATCCGAAGGACCGGTCTCCACGTCCCACAGTGGGATTCGAACAAGCGACGTAAGGATCAACTCCTTACTCCGCGACTCTAGAGCAGACGCTCTAACCACTGCGCCACGCGGGCGACAAAATATGGATTATAAATGGATATTACTACTAAGGTACGCAACTTGATCTTGACCTTCGTGTTTGACCTAATTTTTATAAAAAAAATAATAACTTTCGTGAATGACCCCGTCAAATTTAGACCTTTACTCGGCACATAGGTCCATTGAGCAGTGAGGGGTCTTTATCGTGCCAACGCCTACCGTGACACGGGGCCTGAGTTTTTAAGGTTTCATCCGAAGGGCCCGCAACTTTCACTTTTAGTGCCGAGTGCTTGGTGAAGGAATAGTTGCTACCATATTCTATCCACTGAGGTCTAAATATTGAAACGTAAAAAATTGTGTTATTTATCATTTGAGATTGACACACTCTATTATTTCTTTAATATAGTTTATAACCATCTAAAATGCATTTTGTTCGATAGGTACGACATTCTTCATATATAAAAAAAGGGTATGTGGTTCGTTAGCATCAAATATTTTTGCGTACTTTACTAGAACTATCCGTTAATAATCCATATTCTTGAGCTCCTTAGTGATAATAACGATACTTTTCTTGTGCTTGTTTATTACAAGAATATATACAATTAATAGCAATATGATGATAATGATAGATATCTATGTCAAGTATCAGTATTTATCTCTCATTCTCAACAACTTATGATGTACTGATATCTTTTAACTGGGTGAATAAATTGTTATAAGACAAGGATAAAAGGCTTCCTCGTTCGTGTGTTATAAATTTTATTAATACTCTTAGAGTACACAAAACCTACATTGCGTTTTCAAAAAACAAATGCCGTTAAATTGATTGATTAATTGTATGTTGTTTTACGTCCCATTCGAGAATTTTTCACTCATAAAGAGACGTCACCAGATACCGGTGAAGGGCTTCAAATTTTGACCTTTACTCGGCACTCAGGGCCATTGAGCAGTGAGGGATCTTTATCGTGCCAACGCCTGCCGTGATACGGGGCCTCGGTTTTTAAGGTCTCATCCGAAGGACCCGCAACTTTCACTTCAAAGTGCCGAGCGCATGGCGAAGGAACAGTTGCTACCCATTTTTTATCGACTTAGGTCAGTCGCGGCCGAGATTCGAACTCACGACCTCCCGATCACGGAGCGAGCGCTCTACCGATTGAGCTACCGTGAACGGTATTATAGTAATAGAAGAGACACTGATAATATGTTTTATAAGTTTGGAACATTAAAAATTACGGTGCTAGTAGACTTTTAACTAAATCAAAGTTTTTAAAGTCATCAATATAGTGAATCATACTTTTTAAAACTATCAGTAAAGTGTCATGGTTACATTGTATCATAAGTAAATCAAAAGGTTTAAAAATTACGGAGCGAGCACTCTACCGACTGAACTACCGTGAAAGGTACAAATGCTGTTAAAGGAAAAGCGTGTACCACTTGGATTTGTGACTCGTTAGAAGTAGACTACGTCAGATTTTTCTCTAGAAAGCGACGACAAACAGATATGAAGATCCAAATACAGAGAGATTGAACTTCTCATTGTTTAGGTTAAGTATACCTGAAATGTGATGAACCTATTTTTAAACTCTTTTTTCTATTACGTTCTGAATAATTTTGTTTTTCTTGCGAATCGCGGTATCATCTTTACCAAATAATGCTATCGTGAAATACAAACAGTTACCTATAGTTTACTATACTTAGCTTTAGCAAACTATAGTTAACCAAAGTTAGCTAAAGTTAATTTTAGAAAACTATAGTCAACTTAAGTTTACTTAAACTACGACAGTTAATCAATGCTATCACTTTAGTTAATTTAGATTTTCATAAAAAATTCAAAGTTCATTCATTGTGACAAAGTTATTGATATGATCAATTATTTCCTGTGAAAAAAGTCTCGTATAGTAATGTTACCCAGTTTTGAAGATTTTTCTTATTTTTCTAACAATATATTTGAGTCTTGCATTTTGCAAATGAAAATGCAATGCATATTGTATGCAACCTTTTAAAAAACGATTTTAGTGATATTATTTGATACTTTTGAAACCTAATATCTTTCACTTACTGCCACTGTCAAAATAATTTTTACATGAATTAAGCTAGTGTCTCATTTTAATTTTTGTTTTTTTTTTTTAATATTATCGATGTAGTTATAGTAATAATGAGACACTATTAATATGTTTTATAAGTTTGGAACATAAAAAATTACGATGCTAGTTATTGCTTCAAATCAGAAGAGTTACTACCTTAGTTAGAATAATATAAAACACATTTAATTAAATGAAAGTTTTTAAAATCATTAATATAGTGATTTTTTCTTTAAACTATCAGTAAAGTGCCATGGTTATCATTATATTTAATCAAAAGGTCTCAAAAATACAGTCAGAAATCCCTATAGCGTCATTTGATCAGTATAGAAAATCTACGTTATCACTAAAATGTCCCAGTTATAAGTGGAGTTAATCAAAATTCCCAATGTTTAAACTAAAGTGTACTTTAGTCAACAATTGTGTGCTATAATTATATATAATAGTTAACTGTAGTTTACTATAGTATTTTTTGCAAGGGCCTAATCATTTGGTTGAATTAATTTTCATATTGATGAATTTTCCACAGACTTCTGGACTTCTATATAACATTTAATTTCATTTTTAGGTTCTTTTTTCTAAAAAGATACTTAATCAAGACTTTGTTTGTTTTGTGTCATTTGCTCTCATAGTTTTGGAAGGCAAAAGAGACATTTTAAAAATCATGAAAATGAACATTTCAAAGCTTAAATATACTCATGCTATATTTTTTTCTATGTTATATGATATGTCATAAAATCATTTGTCAGTGTA